TTTTCGCAAAAAAAAAAAAAAAAGAAAATCTATAGTTTTTCTCCCCCCCCCCCAAAAAAAAAAAAAAAAGCTGATGCCCCCCCGTTAAACTCGTCTGGAGCCGGGGCTGAAAAGAAGAAGGTCATTGCAGAGAAGGCTTCCCCACAGGAGCAAAACCATTTACAGTCACTTGAACAGCAGAACTGTCTGCCGTCATGCGTTCTGCGGTCCTCGATGCCAGGTCACAATCCCGCCCTCCTGTTTTGCCTCGGTCAGTTCTGGTATTCAAGGCACCTTGATGATTTTCCTTCTGTGTGTGAATCATTCTCTGCAATGATCTTCTTCTTCTTCTGTGTCTTTCCTGTGGAGTGCCACAAGTCTCCATCCGTGGTCCCTTCCTTTTTCTCTCTATTTGTGTCAATCATCACCAAACACAACCTGTTATTTCTCTGCTATGCAGATGATAAACTGCTGCTTCTCCGTCTGGATCTCAGAACCGGTTACTCATGTTTGACGTCAGATCAAATTTTTTACACTTAAATAAGAACAAACTCATTGTTTCATGTCTGGGCAGAGAAGTTGGAGTCGTTGCGTCTCTCAGTGGCGCCTCTACAGTCAGAAATCGTGGTGTGTCTTTGACAAACTTTAAACTTGATAAATAAACAAATAATGTCATTATTTATTTAGACGAGTTTCTTTCTGTTATGGCTCCTGACCCGAACCCAAATGTTTGAAGTTATAACAAACATTTGTTTCCGCGATGTTCACATCTGGACGACCATTCCTAACCTAACTTAACCCTTTGCTGAACCAAGCAAAACGCCGCCGCTGTCTCTTCTGCCTTCAACCGACACTGGAATCACTGGCATCCCATTCGGATCAGGATGGAACTAAACTGGTCCAGTTCCATTGTGTTTAACTTTTCCAACGGCTGGAGGACATGATGACCAACGTTTCTCTGCTGCTTGACTCAGATTGTGGTCCTGGTTCAGGTCCTGGTTCTGATCCGGTTGGTCGGTTCTGTCCCCACAGCCTCGGAGGTCCTCAGAGACCAGACGGCGGTGCGCCTGGCCTACCGGAGGGAGCAGCGGACCGACTGGGTCATGAACAACTGGGGCAACAGGAACGGCCGAGTCGGGGAGTTGGTCGACCTTCTGGAGTCTCTGCAGCTTTTCAGGCCGCGGGACATCATCCTGAGCTGTGAGTTGACCCCTGACCCCTGATCTGTAGAGCAGTTTGACCTTCAGCTCCGATTCTCTGCAGGGATGTGGAACCTGAGTCGTCCTCTTGCTCTTCCTCCTGCTCTTCCTCCTCCTCCGTACGAACCGTCAGCAGCTCAGTCCACAGGTAAGACTCGGCAGGTCTGATATCACTGCAGCGCTCTGATTGGTTGGATGAGCTGATGATGTCGCTGCTCTACCCTTCAGCTGAGTGTCCAGAAAGGAAACCGCTGCCTGGCCCGGCCCCGCCCCCTGACAACCTGTTCTCTGAGAACCACCAGCCGCCTCCCAGGCCCCCCGCCGCTACTGATGATGTCATGCCTCCATCGCCATGCAGCGCCATCACCACCATCATCTGCTGGACATATGAAGAGGTGCATGCTGGGACGCGAGGCTTCTCCCCCAGCCTTCAGGTCGGGGAGGGTGGCTTCGGCGTTGTTTACCGAGCAACGCTCAGCAACATGGACTGCGCCGTCAAGAGACTCCGACAGGTCAGCCAATCACAGCGCAGCACAGAGTCATGTGCTTCCAGACACAATAGCCTTGTCCGAATTCAGGGTCTGCGTCCTCTGAAGGCCGGATTTATAGGCCGGTTAGGTCATAGCGCGGCGAAAAGGCCTATCCGATTTCAAAGACTCGTTCAAACTCTTCCTCCTTTTCCCCAGATTTGAAGGACGGGTCCGGTGTATCCTTCACGGCTCACCACTTCCCATAATTCATTGCAGGTCCAAACCCGATGTTCAGGCAAAGTGGCAATGGCGGTGAAGAGCGGCAAATTATTTTCTGTATTGTGCTTTAAGTGACACAACGTGATTTTTTACAGCATTTTTAGGTGAGAATGTAACCAAGTCTCAAATATCTGCTCGCTTCATCAATACGTCACCAATGTTGCTCCGACATTTTCGGGATGCCTGCTCCCGCTGCGGCCAGCTCCCCTCGCTCCAGGTTCGGCTAGAGGACGCCATGTCTGCCGGTTCATCGTTATGAAAACTCCCGCTAGCTTTAAACACAGATATTACTTGGTCTAAGTAAAATGTTTGGTTTACCAGAGTACTTAATTTATTTCTGACCAAATCGTTTTGATTGATTAATAGTTTTAATTAACTGTAATGACTTATCTGGACAGTATTATATCTGTAAATGAATAATTTACTTATATTTATTCCTTGTAGAAATGTGCAATACACGTTTGAACATTTTAGAATCAAACTAACAGATTTATTTTTTACAATGAAACAGCCTTTACTATAAAAGTGAAGAATAATACAGACATCAGGAGTAATACATGGCTGAAAAACAAACTTTTGGTTCATTGGTTTTTTCCTTCGCCACTGGGCTTCATGCTGTCACGGTTGCTAGGCAACATGAGCTATGCTGAGGTGGACGCTAACCAGCTAGCTGAAGATTAACAGAATAAATTTTAACTTCATTTGGAAAAACAAACACCATTACATCAGAAAGAGATTGGCTAAAACATTATGAGGAAGGTGGTATGAAGGCAATCGATTTTGAAATCACGAATGGCACTTTAAAAATGAGATGGCTTCAGTCCCTTTTAAAACACGGTGATCTAATTTGGTTTGTTGTTCCATCGTATTTCAAAAGGTTGGAGGTTTTGATTCTGAATTATCTAAACTCCCTGCAGCTCTCTGCTTTCCATCAACAGGTTTTTGAACCAGTATTCAATAAGTAACATAAACACAGCTCT